CCCCGGGGCCCCCCCCCAAACTGCCAACAAAAGGGTTAACCTGGTGTTTGCCACGTCCCCAGTGACAGAGGGTACTGCTCCAATTGACACAGGTTAACCGGGTCCTTTCACTGTCTCCTAGTGACACAGTTTAACCTGGTCGTACCCTGTCTCCCACTGACACCAGGGTTAACCCTGGGTCTTTGCGATTGTCTCCAGTGATAGAGGGTAGACTATCACAGTGACACAGGGTTAATCTGGGTCCTTGCCACTGTCTCCCAGTGACACTTTGGTTAACCTGGGTTCTTACCATGTCTCCCAGTAACACAGTAACACGGGGTTTTAACATGGGCCTTAAACACTGTCTGCAAGTGACACCGGGTTAACTTGAGTCCTTACCACTGTCTCCAAGTGACACAAAGGTTACATTTGGGCCCTTACCCTGACTACCTGTGACACAGGGTTAACCCTGGGTTCTTTCGTGTCTCAAGTGACAAAGCTTTACCCTTGGTCTTCTCCACTGTCTCTTCAGGGTCAGAGGGTTAACCTGGGTCCCAACCACTTTCTCCCACTGATACAATGTCCCGTCTACCAGAGACACAATGTTAACCTGGGTGCTTACCACTGTCTCTCAGAGACACAGGTTAACCTGGGTCCTTACCACTGTCTTCCAGTGACACAGGGACCGGGGTCCTTACCACTGTCTCTCACTAATACAGGGAACAGTCACTCAGTGACATAGGGTTAGCCTGGATCCTTCAGTTTGTCTACCAGTGATACAAAATTTAAAACCTGGGTCCTTAACCTGTCTCCCGGGACACAGGATTAGCCTGGATTTTTTAGGACTGTCTCCAGTGGCACAGGATTAACCTGCGTCTTTGCCACTGTCTCCCATTGTCACGGGCAAACCCTGGATCCTTTCCATTTCTCTCCCAGTGCCCAAAGGGTTAACGTGGGCCCTTACCACTGTCTCCCAGTGACACAAGGGTACCTGGGCCTATAAAAAATGTTTCTTTTGTTACACAGGGTTAACGTGGGTCCTTGCCACTGTCTCCGAATGACTTTAGGTTTACCCTGGTTCCTTACCACTCTCCCACCCGTGACACAATGGCTAAAATTTGGGCATTTACACTGTCTCCTAGTGTTACAGGGTACAAATCTACCAGTGACACAGGGCTAACCTGGGTCCTTATAACTGTCTCCCAGTGACACAGGGTCACCTGGGTCCCTTCCCTCTGTCTCGCAGTGACACAGGGTTAACGTGGGTCCCTTATCACGCTTCTTAGTGAGACAGAGTTTTAAACTGGGTTCTCACCATTGTCTCCCAGTGACACAGGGTAAATCTGTTTTCCTTGCACTTCTCTCAGAAATACATGGTTACCAGGGTTTCTTACAACTATCTCTTAGTGACAAAGGGTTAACCTGGGCTAACCTGCTTCCTTTCCCAGTCTCCCAGTGACACAGTGTTGGCCTGGGTCCTTACAACTGTCTCTAAGTGATAAAGGGTTAAGCTGGGTCTTTACCACTGTCTCCCAGTGACACAGAGATAACCTTCGTCAATGCCACTGTCTCCCAGTGACAAAGGGTTAACCTGGGTCCTCGCCTCTGCCTCCTAGTGACATAGGGTTACCCTGAGTCTTTGCCACTGGTTCCCAGTGACACAGGGTTTAACCTGGATGCTTGCCACTGTCTTCCAGTGACACAGGGTGATGCAGAGGTACCCTGTGACCTTACCACAGTCTCCCAGTGACACAGGGTTAACCTGGGTCCTTGCCACTGTCTAACAGTGACACAGATTTGCCCAGGGTCCTTGCCACTGTCTCCCAGTGACACGGGTTAGAGTGGGTCCTTACCACTGTCTACCAG